AAGATTTTATTTATTTATTTGACAGAAGGAGATCACAAGCAGGCAGAGAGGCAGGCGGGGGGCGGGGGGGGAAGCAGGCTCCCCACTGAGCAGGGAGCCCGATGTGGGGCTGGATCCCAGGACCCTGAGACCATGACCTGAGCCGAAGGCAAAGGCTTAACCCACTGAGCCACCCAGGCGCCCCTTGACTTTCTATTTCAACCGTTTCCTGAATTTGTCAGTCCCAGTGTTTTTCCTCTGGCGTCTCCAGGGTTTTCATCATTGCTCTGAACACGGTGACATTACCTCTTCCTCTACAATTCGATGCCCTTTTTGTTCTCCTTGCGTAGTTGCTCTGGTTAGGGATTCCGAGGCTGGGCTGAACACGAGTGGCCAAAGTGAGCACCCTGGTCTTGTTCCTGATTCGGGGGCAAAGCGTTTCTCAGTATGATGCCAGCGCAGGGTTTTCACTAAGGCCTCTGCGGTATTGGGGAAATTCCCTTCTGTTCCTAGTTTAAGGAGTGGGGTTTTTTTATCATGAAACGGTGTTGGATTTTGTGAGATGCTTTTTCTGCATCAACTGAGATGACTGTGGGGGCTCTCCCTTCCTTCTGCTCCCATCACGTGGCCCGTGGACCGACACCCTTGCCGAGTCAGCCTCGCCTGCCTGGGAGAAATCCATCGGTCATGGCTCATGACCGTTCGCGTATGCTCTTGGGTTCCGTTTGCTGGTACTTGGCTGAGGACTTTTCCATCTGTATTTGGAAGACGTTGTTGAACTGTCTCTTGTTGTAGTGTGTCTGTCTGGCTTTGTACATCAGCGTGTTCTATGCACAGCGTGTGGGGTCTGGCTAGTACTTCGCAGGAGTCAGGAAAGGTTTCTGCTCCCCAGCTCCACGAGTGGAAATCCCACGTCTACCTCCAGAAACACACTTTTTTTTGTTTTTTTTAATTTCGGAAAGCTCTGCTTACCATTCACACCAAGGCTTTGAAGAACTTCAGGGACACCAGGAGGGACCGGGCCGCGCTGTGACTGGGCCCTTCGACTGCATGTGGAGACCCAAGGACTCGTGAGAAACGGGAAGGATTTTCTGGCACTTACGGGAAATTTGGACGGCTCGCACAGGACGGCTTGGGCTGTTCTCCCGGGACCCCTGGACTCAGGGCTGGAACAAGGGGGAGGACAGAAGGGAAGTCGTGCTTAGAGCATCTGTCAGACCATTGCGATGGTTTGCTTCGTCCTGACGGGAAGGAGGCTTTTGCTGATGGGATCGGAGCGCCCTGTGGGTGGCCCTTGGGCCCCGATGTGTCTCGCGGGCTGTTGGCCCGCACAGCCACTGGAGTTCTGATCATAGTAAATCCACTGTTCTCAGATTCTTACTTCTCCACCTTGTGGACCCGGTAGGCTGGACACGTGACCGAGCAGTGTCCCTTCAGTGGTTGCTAAGGGAGAGCGCGCTGTATCAGAGACTCCCACGTAAAGAACGTTGCTTTAGAAAAATATCCCTTAATGTTGACAATAAGATCTAGAATTACTACTCTAAAAAAAGAGCTTCATGTTTCATCTGTAGGAATAAGAGGACAGAGTGTTACGTTTTCCTGGCCCTGACTCGTGTTAGTCCCGTGCTCACCGTGTGAAATTCTGTCATCTGTCAGGTTGTCGGTATTTACTGTGCGTGTAAGTAACTCAGACATTTTGGATACAGCGACCAACACCTTTGAGGGCTCGCTGGCTCACGGTTCTGTGGCGAGCCCTTGTGATTCGAGCGGATATTGGGGAAGCGCCGGAGGTGGCGTTCCTGCGGAGGGACACTTGACTTCCCGGCGCTGTGCTGTTTCCTGCAGGAAGGCCTTCGAACCCTGTGTGTGGCCTACAGACGGCTCGCTCCGGAAGACTACGGCGGCGTGTGTACCCTGCTGCAGGCCGCCAAGGTGGCTCTCCAGGACCGGGAGAAGAAGTTAGCAGAGGCCTACGAGCAAATAGAGAAGGACCTCATCCTGCTCGGGGCCACAGCTGTGGAGGACAGGTGAGGTACACGCAACGCCCCCTCCTCAGAGAAGCGGTGGCCTTCGGAGGCCGCGGGGCCTGTGTGGTGCCCGGGGGTTGGGCCCCTCCTGTCCTCACAGGGATGTGCGTCCGCAGCGGGACAACATGGGCCTCGGGGGGCGTCACCGGGAGGTCGTGCCTGGACGGTGTCTTACCTTCCGTGTGAGGCCCTGACAGTCGCGCTCTGCCAGAGGGACCGGAGTGGTTGGCACGTTCATACCGTGCCGCCCGTCGTCCACAGACCGGCGTCTTGAAATCATTCTGCAGAGTTCCGTCGGCGGTTCTGTCCCTGAGCTCTCCCCACCGCCCTTCCCAAGTTCAAGCGTGACATTTTAGACGTGAGCGTCCTCGGTGTACCTGTTATTTCTCGTTGAAGGAATGTAAAACTGTGAATTAGAATATTGCAAAAACCACCACTAATAACCGAGACGTGTCCCTTCAGGCAGGGCTTCCCACGCTCGGAAGATGGGGCTGGACGTGAGTTTGGGGCTTGTGCACGGAGACACGGGCCTGTCCCTGTGTAACACTAGAGCGTGGATGGAAAGGAAAAGAAAAAAATGCCCCAGTTAATGGAATGAAGTGGAAACTTGAGGGCGTTTACCGCAAGTTTATTTCCCGTGAAGGTTCAGTCTTTACGGCGTAAATGGGCCTGACATTTCAGTCCTCAGGAGAAGCCTAGTTTTCCGGTGTCTTTAACGAGCACCCCGCGGCCTCCCAGTCTCCAGTGGGGGTCACTCGACTTCAACTTGACGGCCTAAGTCCCTCCTGTCGCTTGGCTGGATGGGGGTCCAGGCACTGACCCAGAAAGGACGTGGCACCAAGGGCCTGCTGTGCTAGGGGAGAGGGACGTGTGTGCGGTGCGTTTGCCTGGGGGACACTGGGACCGTCCTCAAGGGACGTGCTGGGAGTGGAGAGTCTGGATAGGCGAGTCACACCTGCACACCCTCAGGAGGGTCGAGGGAGACGATCTACTCCACAGGGAGTTGGGACCTCGAAAACAGAGTAGGTTCCCAGGGGCAGGTGAGGGCCAGTGGCCTTGAGGTGATGACATTTAGTCGCAAATCCTTTCCCTAAAACTGACAAACACCTCTGCAGACGGACCTTTCTGGTCCTCAGTTTCCATTTTCCAAACAAACTGATAAAAGTATGAGATGTTCCCGTGCCTCCGGAATGCGGAGGTCCCGTGAGCTCCAGGCTTTACTGAGTCTCGTTGGGTCAGCGCAGTGGCGTCCGAACCCGCTGGTGCTGGGCAGGGACACGGTGCATCACTTCACATGCCTGTCAAAAGCGCAGACGCTAAACTCTGGAAAGAACGACAGGTCCCAAATGAGGCAGACGTCAACGCACAGCACGATAGCCTGACCAGTGTGTGAGCCGCTCACCTTTGCATGAGTCTGCCCCCTGCCCGTGAGCCCTGGGTTTTCCACCCCAGCACAGGGTTGCTGATGGGGCTCACCCCGTGAGCTCTGGTGGAGGGGGGTGCATCGTGGGCAGGGCTTCCCATGGCCTCTGACACGTGGCCAGCTTGTGGTGTGCAGGAGCCCGTCGTGGAACCTGCCGGCGGTCTCGGTGTTTGGCCGTATTTGGGGCCCCTGCTCAGAGGCGGAGTTGCAGCAGCTCAGGCCAGAGGGAAAAGGCAGTGAGTACTCAGACTTCCTCTTCTCCTGGCCCCGTCCTCCCCGGGCTGAGACGTTCTTTGTTGCCGGCGATGGTCCTTGTCGGCATCGCCCAAAATCCTCCGTGAGTGGGGAAGCCCCGCCGGACAGGGTGCCGCGTGCTCACCGAGCGTCGGTTGTGCGAGAAGGACGCGTCACTTCTCAGGGTCGCACGCCTGCCTCCGCTTGGAACTGGGAAGCGCTTTCCTGTAGAGTTGACACGTGAGCGTACGGGTAGCTCTGGGGGCCCCGCGGTCACGCCGTGAGCTGACGGCCTGGTGCTCTCTAGCTTGTGGGGACGGAGCTAGTGGCCTAGGTTCCCGGAGTCGGAGGTGCCCCGCTCAGGCCCGTGGTCTCGCTCCTGCTTTGCTCAGGCTTCAGGAGAAGGCTGCCGACACCATTGAAGCCTTGCAGAAAGCCGGGATCAAAGTGTGGGTCCTCACCGGGGACAAGATGGAGACGGCGGCCGCCACCTGCTACGCCTGCAGGCTGTTTCGGAGGGGTACGCAGCTGCTGGAGCTCACCACCAAGCGGCTGGAGGAGCAGAGCCTGCACGACGTGCTGTTCGAGCTGAGCAAGACCGTGCTGCGCCCCAGCGGGAGCCTCACCAGGGACAACTTCTCGGGGTAGGCAGGGCCCGTGCCCACTGCAGGGGCAGCCGTGGGGGTCCGTCCCCGGGGCTCGTCCCGGCGAACAGCGGGACGCAGCCAGGGCGAGTCTCCGTGGCCACTGTGAGGTGTTTTTGCAGAAGAGTTACGTGTGTGTGTGTGTGTGTGTGAGCATCTGAGTGTGTCTGTCAGTGTGTGTGTGTCCGCGTCTGTGAGCGTATCTGCGTGACTGTGTTTGTGTGTCTGTCCGTGTGTGTCAGCGTCTGAGTGTGTTCACTTAAATGCCACACAAGGACGCAGACTTGACGGGCTTAGGCTGTACTGGGAGGCGGTCATTCCCATCCGCTTTGAGGCCGGGGCTGCGGGAGGAGAGACTGAGCTCCGCCGGCCCGGGTCGCGTGCTCTTGGCCGACGGCGTGGACGTCGCGGAAGGTGCGCGCGGGCTGGAGCTCAGCGTCTGCGCCGCGCTGGCGCCAGGAGGGTTTCGTTTTGGCTGCGTTGGACCGCGGGGCCCGGGGCGCTCTCGAGGCTGTGCCGGTAGAACAGTCTGCGGTTGTCGGCTGATGACATGACAGGCCTCCGAGCTGTGTGCCCCGGGCTCCCGAGTCACGTGTCTGTTGCTGTGATGGAACAGGCTCTCGGCCGACCTGGAGGACTTCGGGCTGATCATCGACGGAGCCGCGCTGTCCCTGGTCATGAAGCCCCGCGAGGACGGCAGCGGCGGCAACTACCGGGAGCTCTTCCTGGAGATCTGCCGCAACTGTAGCGCCGTGCTGTGCTGCAGGATGGCGCCCCTGCAGAAGGCCCAGGTCGGCCCCGCAGCCCCCAGCCCCTCGCGGTTGTGATAAGCTCAGGGAGGCACCGCCTTCTTTAACTAGAGGCACAAAGGGCAGAAATGTCCAGCCTGGGTCGTCCTCTGCTGAGGCGAGGGTGGGCGAAGTCGGGTGGGACGCCGCCCGCTGGAGGCGGGGGAGGTGGAGGCCGGGGAGCATGGCCCCGCACGGCCTCTCATACAAGGGGAGCCCCATTTCTGAGGCTCCATGGGAGCGACGGGGTGCAGGTGCGCTCCAACACGCCTGCCGCTGGCACGGCGACAGGTGCGGCACGAACCACTGCAGGGTGGGGCCCGTGTGAGTGCTGTCCCCGAGCGTGCGGGAGCGCTGAGACACGGAGAGTGGGGGGAACTTTCTACAAGGGGGTTTGGAAGCTGGCATCCGCCTACGGCCTCCAGACTCCTGAGCCCCGGAGCATGGCCGCAGTCCCACCCTGCCCCCCACCCCGTCTCCTGCCGCAGGCTCCCTGGAAGCCTGTGTCATCCTGTCCAGAGGGGCAAGCCTAGGACATTGTGTTGGATTTTCCTGTGTTACGCAGTCTTTTTTTGAGTTTCTGACGTTCAGAAGTGTTTGCACACGTTCGTGTTTCCGACGCTGCTGTGGAAAGGACAGGCGGTCCGCTCATGTCTCCTCATCTTCTCGGCCCTCTCTCTGAACCGCGGCCCTTAGACACATAGATGGAGAGAAAGTTTGCAAAGAAATGCACCACCCACTTGAAATTATTCCCTGTGTCACATTTCCAGATCGGATTTGCACGCGTGACAACACTGAGCATTAAAATAACATGAGAAGCAGCTTATTTAGGAGAAAGATGCCTGTAGCAGACGGTCTGCAGGGCCGTGTCTCCTGGCTGAGCGTGCTGTCCACGTGTCCCTGGGGCTTGCGTGGCCCCGTCTGCTGAGTCTGCCTCAGCAGCGACGGGCAGCCGTCGCCCACCAGCCCTGTCCGATGACCGCGCGTGAGCCACCTTCTCTGCTCGCGCGTCGGCAGCGTACGGCTGGGCCTGCACACAGACGGCAAGTTCACGCTGAGCCGCTCACTGTCCTGCCCTCCTCGGCCAACTTGACGTCTGTGTTCCGCCTAGGTAGCGATCTGGGCCAACAGGAAACAAGACATAAATTCTCCATTTGCTTATTTTCCAGATTGTTAAATTAATCAAACTCTCCAAAGAGCACCCCATTACTTTAGCCATCGGCGACGGCGCCAATGACGTCAGCATGATCCTGGAGGCACACGTGGGCATCGGTGAGTGGCCCGTGTCCGGGAGCCCGTGGGCAGGGAGGGGAGACTGGCAGCGGGACGAGGGGTGCGGGCACAGGGGCGGCGGGACGAGGGGCGTAGGGTGCGACCGGCCCGGGCGTTCCTGTTGCCCGTGTTTGCTGGCGCCCGTCTCACCGCCTGCCGCTTGCCCTCGTGCGGTGCTGAGAGCGGGGCCCTTCCCGCAGGTGTCATCGGGAAGGAGGGTCGCCAGGCCGCCCGGAACAGCGACTATGCGGTCCCGAAATTCAAGCACCTGAAGAAGATGCTTCTGGTTCACGGGCATTTCTACTACATCAGGATATCCGAGCTCGTGCAGTACTTCTTCTACAAGGTGGGGTGTCCGTGCCGCGGCTGCCCGGCGCGCTGGTGCCACGGGGACGGCTCAGGAAGGGACGGGCCAGCAGGGAGGGGGTGTCACGTTGCCCTGAGAGGGGAGGGCGACACACCGCTGCACACACAGCTTCGGCGTGGAACTGGCAGGAACCTGGCCGTTGTCGTATGGTCGAGGAAAGGTTCTGCCGTGTGTCCTGGCGAGGAGTCCTCGTCCTTGTCCGTGCTACACTCAGACTCTTCCCTGGCCGCGCTCAGGCCCTGCCGTGTCCCAGAACGCTGTCCCCTCACGGGGCTGCCATGGCTCCTGCCATTAAGACGAGAGCAGGCTTCATGCCCTTCTGGGAGCACAGGAGCTGCGGGGTCACTTGCTACAGACACGGCGGGTCTCAGGCATGGCGCGGGGGCGTGGTCCCCGGCATGTGTCGGACTAACCCGCGTGTGGCTTCCCTTCCAGAACGTCTGCTTCATCTTCCCTCAGTTTTTGTACCAGTTCTTCTGCGGGTTCTCACAGCAGGTGAGCCCGGCTGTCTGGAGTCAGACGCTCCCCTGGGCCTTTTTGCCCGGCCCTTGTGGGTGGCGAAGGGGGGAGCGGGCTGCAAGGGCTGGTGGGCTGAATGGGGGGGCGGGCTGCGGGGGCAGTAGGTCAGGGGTACTGGGGTCTCCACCTCACACCCCCATGCAGCTGTCCGCTGGCAGGGTCAGGAGCAGACGCGGAGGCGCGGTGGCTGCCGTGGGCTTCTGCGTGGCCACAGCGAGGTGGCCCGCTCACCCATCCCTGAGGCTGCGGTGGTTTCTGCCCCTGAAGGAGGGACCGATGGCATCTGAGTCCCTGTCCCAGTTTCCGCCCCTGAAGGAGGGACCGATGGCATCTGAGTCCCTGTCCCGCACACCTGGCCATCAGCCTCTGGCATGCTCAGGGGTGCCGAGCTGCCTGGGAGTGTGGTGGCCCCTTCCCGTCACGTTCCTGCTTCTGCCCGAGGGGCCGGGGCCAGGGAGCACTGAAGCTGGACGGTCACGGTGGCGGACTTCTCAGCCGCTGTTGTGCTGCTGGCCTGCAGCGGCCGCGGGGCGGGTCCCGGGGGCGCCGGTGTCGGCCGTGGCTGTAAGCAACAGTGGGCACCAGGATGCACTGGAAGACGTCCCCGTGTCCGTAGCTGCAGGAAGGGGACGCTGTGCAGGTCGGGCTGCTGTGGGTCCGGGTCTTTGCGAATCAGAGGAGACGTGTACGTTTCAACGAAGCGTGAGAGCATGTGGTGACCCGCGGAGCGCGGTTCTCAGGCCGATTCTGTTCTCCCGCAGACTTTGTACGACACCGCCTACCTGACCCTGTACAACATCAGCTTTACGTCCCTCCCGATTCTGCTGTACAGCCTGATGGAGCAGCACGTCAGCATCGACACGCTCCGCAGAGAGCCCTCCCTCTACAGGTACCGGCCGCGCCGGGCTGGCCTCAGGGCTCGCTAGCACTCCTGGTGCCCCCCGGCCCCGCACGCCGGTCCTGCCGGACCAGAGCCCTCCGTGGCCGCTGGGCTCCCAGCCACCGGCGAGGGTTTGGGGGGAAGCAGCCTACCTCAGACTAGGGAGAGGGTTTGTGCTGCCTTTGAAACATGCCTGTTAAGCCAGTGGGTCTTACCGTGCTTTTCAGCAGTTCCAGAAAGACCCAGGATCTGTGTTTCTGCCCCTTGGTGACCCCGGTGGATTTGGAGCCTAAATGATCCTTTAAAAACTAAGTACGCTCCATTCGGTGAGATAAAAGGGAAAGTTGACAGGTCTGATCTCAGAGTGCCCTTTTTGGCTAAGAAGTATCTCTAATAATCAGGAAGAAGTGTTTTTCTGCCATTTTGGAATTTCCTCCAAGCTGGTTGGCAGATTCAGGCTGTTACTGCTTTTGTGGCTTTTTAAATTTAACTTCTCACATCAGAACGGTTTGAAGGCCACACAGTTCTTGAGTCTTCCTCCGACATCCCTGGCGCTTAGCACCCAACGGAACGGCATCCCCGGGTGCCCGGGTTTCTGTCTCTGTGCACATGCCTGTGCAAGCACACATGGTGGGTCCCAGGTCTGCACAGTGCAGAGCACCTGCCAGCCCCATGGTCCCCATCGGGGTGTCCTCTGTGACACGGGACCTGGAAGCCCCTGAGCCCCAGTGGCGCCCGCAGGCGACGAGCCGGCAGGCGTGGAGCTCACCGTGTGTCCGTTCAGTGGTAGGGGAAGGCGTGTGAGAAGGCAGGAGGCGCTGGGTTAGGCCCGCCTCCAGAGGGACCCGTGCAGCTGGCCTCCCGTGCACTCACGGGTGTAGGAGTTGTGCCAGGAGATGCGCCATGAGCCTGAGGCCTGCAGCCCGTATCTCACGGGAATGCGTGTGGACCTTGTGTCCTGGGTCCATGCACGAGCAGAGATTGAGTCTGTCGTGTGAGTGTCCATCTGGAGGGAAAGAAGTGAATGTCATTTGCATTTGATCCCACGGGGACGTCGTCCTGGGTGGAGGGTCCCATGCCAACGCTGGGCGTGGGCTTTGATGGCTGGGCTCTGACTCTGCTTCTGGTGCAGGAATCTGGTGCTCTGGCTGTCCCCCAGGACTCTGTGGAGCCGGGCGAGGTGCTGGGGGAGGGACAGGGTGTCCAGCAGGCGACCAGGGACAGGCAGAAGGTGACGTGGGGACACATTTGGCACTGGGAGCTATGAGAAGGAACCCAGCGGGATCTGCCTGGAAGGCTCTGTGAGGTCAGAGCACGTGCCCAGCCCCAGTGCAGCTGTGGAGGGGTCAGGCAGGGACGGGGCTAGGCCGGCCAGGCAGGGTGACCCGCGGCAGACAGACCACCCATCCTGTGGACCGGGCCTGTTTCTCTATGACCCACTTTTGTGGCGTGGCCGCACCAGCTGGCTCTGAGGCTGGGGGGCAGTGCCGTGACTGAGGGGGCCTTCCCGGCCCGATGGCACTACAGAGTGTGGGGCGGCCCGGCCAGGCGAGAGTCTGCTGTCGCTGACCCGCGGTCTCCCTGTCCCCTCGTGCAGAGATATCGCCAAGAACGCCCTCCTCCGCTGGCGCGTGTTCATCTACTGGACGCTCCTGGGCGTGTTTGACGCTCTGGTGTTCTTCTTCGGTGCTTACTTCATGTTTGAGAACACAACAGTGACCAGCAACGGACAGGTTAGTGCAGAACCACGCTGTGCGGGCCGGGCCCCGGGGGGTCCTGTACGGGTGCGGGTCAGGGTGGTCTGTGGGGCCTGGTGCGGGGCCTCCGTCCAGCAAAGCACCTCGAGGCCACGGCGCCTCTGCACCTGCTGGACGCGTCCCCGGGAGCCCCAGGCCGATGGCTCTCTGTGCCACCACGGTTCCGTTGTTCGGTTCCGTGGCTCAGGCGTGGCTCATTTCCTGCGGGAATTAACTCGTATTTAACATGTAGCTTTTGTTCACACTCATTTACCTTAAGTACCTGCCGCTCGCGGTGAGCAGGTCTAGCGTCTGCTGGTGGGCAGGCAGCTGCCTGCTTGTTCGCGTAACCTCGGGGGATGTTTTATTCCTATCTCGCTTTTGTCTTTTTGCCACGGGCGTCCCTCCCCACTCTCAGATAGTGACCACCAACACACACATGGTAAGAAAACTGTGGGTTTGTCCTCTATGTTTTGGAGTGCCTTAAAAATAAAATATTTCTCGAAATATTTTCACCTGTGCCCTCTTCTGTGTGCTCTGTCGGTAGAAGCCTGCTAGCGGCCGCTGGCTCCCAGGCGGGGCCGGTGCTGCCTTAGACGAGTATGTCTGCATTCGGTTGTTTGTCGTGCTGTTTCTGGAGTTCTGTGTGGGGCCCGCCCGCCAGGCGGTGGTGGTCTATGACACATAACGTCTGAGCTTCCGTGCGTGGCGCCGGCAGGCTCGGGAGGCTTGATGGGGACGCCACACTGAGCGCAGCCGACCCAGGCCTCCGGGACTCTCCGGGGGATGTGCAGCTGTGCTTCGGGGCCGTCCCCTCTGGAGCGCCACCCGGGTTCGGTGGCCACGGGACACGAGTCCCTCCCCGCCAGGCGGCCCGCTGCTCCCGGCGCGTGGTGACCTGTCCTCCCCTGTGCTACGAACGGGCTGTTCTCCTTTGTGGCCGTGGAAGTCGCGTTCACTAACGATGTCGGAAATGCTTTAAAGACCTCGTTTCACTTCCCTAAAGCCTGGCGTTTCTGGGAACGTCTCTGTCTGCATTTGCTTGGACCGTTCCCAGGGCAGCTGGCCCCGAACTGTCCTCCTGCGGGGTCTCCGCATGCCTTCCCGCGGCCAGGCCCTGAGGGGGCCTGTTGTCTGCGTCTGAGGAAGCATGAGGATTCTGGGTCCCCAGAGCCGGGACATCGGGACCGACGTGGCCTGTTAGCGCTGCGAGAGGCCTCCCGGCGCGGTGTGGCTTGCCCGTCGCGTGGGCAGCTGGAGTTCGGGTGACGTGACGTCCACGCACGAGCGCGCGGACCGCGGTTTTGTGCGGCGCCGTGCTGTTACTCTCCATGCTGCTCCTTCATTGCCCCAGACTCGATAGTACCTGGTGAGACGCCTGGACGTGGCTGTGCCGGCTGGTGTGCGTGGCACGTGGTCTCTCATGAGGTCTGGGCAGTGCCTCCTCCTTGTGCTCCAGTGTCCGGAGCCTTGATGTGCCCCCAGCTGGACCTCGTCCACAGCACCAGAGAGCAGCCCCGAAGCTGCCTTGCTGCGTGCTGGCTGTCAGCTCCCGGGGCCTCAGCCCTACTCGCCTGCCTGTCCGGACGTGACGCACATCTTGTCGTGTGAGAAGCAGCTGGAAAGCCTGGTGATGCCATGAACCAGGCCCAGGGTGGTTGGTGCCAGGCAGGGGCGCTGAGCTGAGGTTTTGTCCCCAGCCTCTGAGAGGCGAAGTCTCCTGCAGGTCTGTCGTGCTCCGTAGAGGAGGGGAGCCCCAGGGCCGGGCTTGTCAGAACGAGATGGATGGTAGCCACGGCGCTCGGGTCACGAGTGGTGCTCATTTTCCTCCCGTATCCCTGGGAGGGCAGGAGCCACACGAGGCTGGGTTGCTCAGGACCACTGTGCACAGAGCAGGGCTAAATGTCTGGTATTGGAGCCCTAGCCACCCCTCCCCCTGGTGCCTCCGTGTCTCCAGATGGAGCCTTTCTTGTTTGCTTCGTCGGTAAGACGGTTCGATCGCCCACAAGACTACGACGGCGTTATAGTGTCATTCTGCAGTGATTCGGACCAACCCCCAAACCCAGGTGCTTCGAGGGCCAGTCTCCGGACCCATGATGCCCTTGGGCTACCAGGGGTGGGCAGCAGGAGTTGGCGGACTGTACTGTCCATCCTGCCCCAGACACCCACCCTTCCCGCTCGGGGGCGGCTTGGGGTGCTGCAGCCCGGAAGTCCCATCCCGCTGATGCTCGGTAGGGGAGGACGCCTTTCCTGGAGAGCTGCCTTGTTCTAGGAACGTGCGTCGGTGCCTGTGGTGTGGGGGACAATCGTGGTAACTTATTGAAAAGAAATTCACTTGAGCGTTTTCTGCATAGACGCCGGGAGCCAAAGCTCTTCCTCGTTCTGACACATACCCAAGCTCACAGAGGCAGGAAGGGACGTGCTCGTGTTGGGCACTGGGGCTCCGCTGCAGTCGTGGTAATGGAGGTCAGCCAACACCGAGGACAGACGGCGGGTTTTAGGGCCGTGATTTGAGAAAACACTGGTGCTTGCTGTGGAGTATTCTTACGTCAGGAAATGAAGCTGGTCTGGATTTGAGGGATTTTAGGAGCGGGACGCTTTCCTGCAAGATGCTCCCGTGAGGGCGGGGGGGCCAGAGGGCAAGCGAGGTAGAGCTGGAGGCTCACAGGCTCTGCAGGCGTTCGTGAGGCTACGTGTCCCTGGTCGTCTGTGCCGAGGGGGTGCTCTGTGAGGAGATCGGGGGCTGGCGGCCAGGGACCGCTGTCATTCCGAAAACAAATCCTCTGGGCACACTTTAATCTCCCACCCCCAAAACCCATAGAAATAGTGACAAACAACTTGAATGACAAAAGCCTGAGGGCTCCCCCACCATTAATGAGGACTTGAGTGGGTGTTCCCAGAGCTGTCCCCTGACTGGCTGTCCCAGGGAGTTGGAAACCACCAGCTGAGGGCACAGGTGACAGCAGAGCAGATGCGTCCTCACTGCCAGAGCTTGTAACCGAAACTCACATTTTTGGAGCCAACACGGTCGTGTGTTGTCACCGCGCTGTAGAAATGACAGCTGAGACCCGTGCGTTCCTGCGCAAGACACCGGTAGTCCTGCTTGGTCACCCCGGGTCTGCTGTCCTTTCCAGCTCCGCAACCCGGCCGGTTCATGGTGCTCTTGGCGAGACATTGCCCATCCACCGCGCGCTCCTGCACCCTGCTGTTACGCGACCCTTCCAAAACCCTGCCGGGTGCCCTGCCAAGCGGGGGTGGTGACCACGGCCGCCACGGTGTTGGGAAGCGGAGGGGCCGGCCTTCCTCAGGTCCCGCTGACGGCCCCGTGGATTCAGAGCCACGCCAGCCTGGCTGTAGGCTCACCCTGTCCTTCCGTCTGCAAGCGTTGGCTGCCAGGGCAAACCAGATGGCCGCGCGGTTTCCAACACCCTACTGGCCGGGCGTCTCTGTGGGCTGCGGCCACACTGCTCCCGGGTTCGGACTCTGAAGTTTGTCCTGCCCCCAAAGTGAAACACTGACGAGATCGCACTTTCTGGTCAGAGTTTCTTACCTGGGCACTGTGGCCTCTGGGGCTGGGGAGTTCAGGATCCTGGGGCCACCCTGTGCAGGCAGCAGACCCCAGCCCTACGTGCAAGATGACGGCAGCAGCCCCCTCCCCAGTGTGGCAGCCAGAACCATCCTGGGCCTTGGCAGGGGTCCCCTGGAGGCAGAGTCACCCCACGTGTGGGTCCGAGCGAGGGAAGCCCCCTTCTGGTCACACCGATGGACGGGGATGAGGTCCAGATGCTGGTGAGGGCTATGGGGCCCTCTGTCCTCACTCAAGTTCTAGAATCCTTCTCGCCTCCGTGTCCGCCTGCATCTGCTCTGTGGAAAACGAGCTCACAGGAAGCCCTTTACGTTCCAGCCGCTTCATGCTTAGTGAAATAGAGCCGTTTGCTTTTAAAAAGTATGAGGACCACTTTCTGAGAGGCACGGTTCACAGGAACCAGAAGGGGGTCGGTGCTTAGGGGATTCTGGAGAAATCTCGAGGAGAGTAAGATCTCCAGCAGATTGATTTCCCCTGAGAGAAAGTCGGTATTTTGTTTTCTGTGTCTGTGTCTGTAGTTGAGAAACGTCTTGTTTTTGTGATTCGATCCTGTGTTTCCACCTCGTGTGGCTTTGCGGCACCATGCGGGGTGGGGTGTGGCCTGCCTTCCTCGGGGCTGTGGCGCGTCTGTGGGTCTGGCCTTCGCACTGGCTGCCGGGGCCTCTGTGCAGCTGTCTTGTCCGCCTCCATTCCCCTTGCCCTGGGCACATCCAGGGGAGAGCCATCCTCGGGGTCCCTGCCTGGGACACAGTCGTCCACTCTAGCTGCTCGCGAGCAACTTGCTCCTGCCGGTGGCTTCCTTCCAGAGAGGCAGGGGTCTGAGCTGAGCTCGGAGGAGGCAGCCAGCGCTCCCGAGTCTGTTCTCGAGCAGGTGGGAGGCGTGGGGCTCAGGAGCTGCGTCATGTCTCTTCCTCATGACACACGACGTGGAAGAGACACGGCCGGCACCGTGCTCACTAGCGTTCTGGCTCTCGGGGATTTTCTCCTACCCATCTGCCACGTTAGGACTGGTGTTTGGGGAGGATCAAGGGGGCCAACATTGAGGGGTCGGCGCAGGAGCCGCTCTGAACCCATCCCTGGACTGCTGGCCTGGCCCCCGAGGGTGGTGCAGGGTCCCTGGGGGTCTGGGGTGCCCCTGGTGTCGATAGCCGGCTACTCCCTGTCCCTGTGTCTTTGGGGTCTGGAGCGCTGGCAGTGAGGTGCATTCTCTAACATTCTCGAGTGTGGAGGGGGGCGATGTGTACCCGCTGCTGACTCTGTGGACGGTTTCCCCCACAGATCTTTGGAAATTGGACCTTTGGGACACTGGTGTTCACCGTGATGGTCTTTACAGTCACACTAAAGGTGAGTGCTTGCTGTTCCCCTTCCTTATTCAGCAGCCCCGTTCCTCGTAACTGTGCCCGGGCTGGAGCCCCCTGTGTCCTGGGCCACCCTTCAGGATCACATTCAGTCATTTATGAAGTCAAGGGGAGACGCAGCACGCCGGGTCCCGGGCGACCCAGTATGTGAACTTAGATGAAGGAGGGATGAGTCAGATTAGAATTCCTTCAAATGACAAGCAGCCCCAGCCCAATACAGTCAAAATCTACCGTAAAATAAACGTGTTACGGGAAACTCAGCTCTTTTGAGAGGCAAGCCCGATGCTGTGTTCAGGGCCATGCAGACGGTCGCCCCCACGTCTCCGCAGCGGGAACGCAGCGGACAGGGCAGCCGGCCGGTCCGGGACGCGTTCCCCAGGAACATCAGGGACCGGGCAGCCGGTCCGACCCGGGATGGGCTCCCCAGGACGCCGGGCCACCGCCTTCTCTCTCTCCTCTGGGGGCCTCCAGTTCTGTGCCTCAGCAGGTTTACGTCGGCGCTCTGGCTGCTATGGGCCGGGGTGGTGCGCGTTCCTCGTTCTCTCCTGGTGGCGGGTCTGCGCAGCCGCGGCTCCTTCCGGCCCTCGAGGGCGCACTTCATGGCTGGTGTGTGTCTTTCAGCTGGCGCTGGACACGCATTACTGGACTTGGATCAACCACTTTGTCATCTGGGGGTCCCTGCTGTTCTACGTCGTCTTCTCCCTGCTCTGGGGAGGGATCATCTGGTATGTGGGGGAGCCACGCCGCGTGGCCCGTGATCAGCTGAGCCGGGGCGGCCGCGGGGGCCCTGCTCCAGATCGCAGGTCAGACGAGGCCCCTCAAGGGAAGTCATTTACGCCATGGCCTGGGCAGGAAGTTCACCTTGGCTGCCAGGTGGAACATGGGCCGGTGAAACCGAAGTGCTGGTTCCGTGGCCTCTGACGAGGGCAGGAAGCAGCTGGCGGTGGCGCCTGCTCTGCGGAGTTTCCCGTCACACCTTGGCTCATGCCGGTCCTTCTGCCCTGGCCGTCCTTTCCCATTAGCCTGCCCTGTGAGCTCTAATGTGTCCTTCAGAACCTCGTGCTCATTGCCCTCCGTGTGCTGCCGGCGAGCCCCCACCCAGGCAGGGCGGTCCCGCCTCCTCACCGGGTCGCCTCAGCCTCTGTCCCCGCTCATCAGGGCACCCGCGCCTCTGCCGGAGACGGGGCGTTTCATGAGCACGGCTGGGACGGGGGGTGCTGGGCGCGGTGGCCTGGGCGTGCCTTGCCCTGGGTGGGCTGGCGGGTGCAGGGTCCCCTCCCCCGTGGGAGGCCCCCCCCAGCATCTCTGACCCCTGGTGGCCAGAGCCAAGCGCTGCAGGCTCGTTGGGACCCGCAGGTGCAGAGCTCCATGGCCTCCAGCCTGCCCAGCACCGTCCACGTTTTGTCCCAGACGCCCACCTGCCCGCTGCTGGCCTTGGGCATAGACATGGCGGAACTGGCCAGGTTCCCCGTTGGCCGTGGAGCCCCGTGGAGCTTTCTCGAATCGCAGATGTGCCCGAAGGGGCCACGCAAGCCGTTCCCACAGAGGGCGAGCCGGGGGCAGCTGGCGAGTGCCACCGGCCGGAACCGTGCGTGTGTCCGGCACGGTCGCCAGCTCCGGGGACGGCCTTGTCTTTGGGAGGACTTCGTGGAAGCCCTTCCTCCTGCCCCGTTCCTCACACCTGGCCGGACAGGTCCGTCCTGCGGCCCGTTGCCCGCGAGCGAGGTGCCCACCCCCGGGAGGGTCAGGGCCGGATGCGAAGGCCCACGCCGCCGGGGGGGATCCTCCGGGCAGGGAGAGCGGAGCCCCCAGGTAACGTCCAGCCGGCCTGTCTGTCTCTCCAGGCCCTTCCTCAGTTATCAGAGGATGTACTATGTGTTCATCCAGATGTTGTCCAGCGGCCCCGCCTGGCTGGTCATCATCCTGCTGGTCACCGTCAGCCTCTTCCCCGACGTCCTCAAGAAGGTGCTGTGCCGGCAGCTGTGGCCCAGCGCCACGGAGAGAATCCAGGTGCGGACGGGGCGGGGCTGCGGGCGGGACTGCGGACTGTGGGGCGGGGCTGCGGGTGGTGGGGCGGGACTGTGGGCGGGGCTGTGGATGGCGGGGCGGGGCTGCGGGGGGGCAGGGTGGGGCTGTGGGCGGGGCTGCGGGGTGGAGGGGGCACCCAGCCAGAGCGGGAGCTTGAGGGAAAGCAGGAGAGGCTTGTGCTGGGAAACGTGGTCAGTCCAGGGCGTCCTGTTGAGGGTGAGAAGGTGGACGCAGGGAGGTGCAAGGTGACCAGCGTTCGGACCCCAGAAGCTGGTGTGCGGAAGTAAGGAGAGAGCAGGAGAGGAGGACCGAGGCCCTTAAGAAGGAAAGTCCTTTGTGGAAACCTAAGGAGGCTTGTAGGTTGAATGCTTGCTTCGGAGGTAAAAGTGCGTTAGCTTTAGGGGCGGTGAACGTGGCCCAGACGTTAGCGTTTGTGTTGGGAACTTCCGGTGCGCACTGGGGTCGTTGGTTTCCACGATCCGAAACTGAGGCCTCCAGCCTGGACTCTGCATTCAGGAGAGGGATGACACGTGCAGCCCACCCCAGCTTAAGGACCACAGCAGCTGTCACTCAGCGTTCTCAGGGAGGGCGCGTCCCCCATCCCCTCACCCCTGTGATCTCATGGAGGACACCCCACCCAATTCTCTCACCCCTGCAATGTCAGGGAGGGCACCTCTCCCATCCCCTCACCCCTGTGATCTCAGGGAGGGCGAGTCCTCCATCCCCTCACCCCTGTGATCTTAGGGAGGACGCATCCCCCATCCTCCCAACTCTGCAGTCTCAGGGAGCACACACACCCCTATCATCTCACCCCTACAGTGTCAGGGAGGGCACATCTCCTATCTCCTCACTGCTACGGTCTCAGGGAGGACACTCCCCTCACCTCTGAGATCTCAGGGAGGGCACGTCCCCCATCACCTCACCCCTGTGTCCTGCCCATGGAGGTGCAGAGCCTCTGTAAGGAGAAGAGAGGGTCCTGTCAAGTGTGCAAGCAGAGCAGGGCTCTCCCTGCAGAACACAGGTGGACGTGCAGGTGGGAGGACTCTCCGTGCCCTTGAGGACATGAGGCAAGGCCTTCCGGGCAGCTCCCGTGGCCGGGGGCTCCCCCTCCCGTGCTGTTGGCCGGCCTCAGGTGCGAAACGGCCAGGCTGCTACTGGGTTTGCAGGGAGTGAAGTCCGGGCACTGCCTGTGCCCGCCTCCACCCGTCCCAGTGGTTGAATGGGATCCGGGGGGTGGGGAGCTTTCCCAGAAGTCTGTGCAGACTGAGCATGCTGGGCGTAGTGCCCCTGGTTCCCCGCGGTTCCCTCCTCGGTGCCTGCGTGTCTAGTCGGCACCGACGGCGCGTGAGTGTGTGGGAACACCTTCGCTCTGAGCTCTTGAACAAGCGAACATGAGAGGAGGTGTCGGGGCAGGAGGAGAAAGACAGCAGGGACAAGAGGCCTGTGTGGCCCCGGGAGGGCAGTGTCCAGGGAGGCCCCAGTTTGCTGAGCGCGATGGTGGGGATGCGCGAGGGGGTTCCTGCCATTAACCGGGCTCGACTGCCTTAACTTGTTTCTCTTTTCCCTTCCTCCTTCCCTTTGTCTCCGACCTCTTTGCCTAAATAACCACTCCCACCTGTCTCGCGATGTGCGTGGCCCCGCGACCCCTCTGGGACTGCAGACTAAGAGCCAGTGCCTTTCTGTCGAGCAGTCCACCATCTTTATGCTCTCTCAGACCTCCAGCAGTCTGAGTTTCTAATGGAACAAGGTGATGCTTTTCTGTCATTTGGCATGGTGGGGTTGCGGTCACAGGAGGCAGAGGGCGGACTCCTCGCTGAGCTGTCCGGCTCCCGGCCCGGGCTCCTGTGGGCTCAGGGAGAGCGCACGTCCGGAGCTTCTGGGATGATGAATATCTGAGATGCGAGAAGTACATGTGGCCCGTGCTTCTCTCTGGGTCCATGGGAGGTCCCGGGTCCCAGCTGCCGGGGCGCAGGGCTGCCCTGCATCGCACTGGCTGGTGGGCACCCATGGCCCCAGCGCACGGCGGCATGGGTGAGGCGGCTCCAGCCCATGTGGGCAGAGTCCACGCAGCACTGCCCCCTCCCTGCAGCCAATGACGATGGCGGCAAGACCTCACTCACGCAACTGTGTGGACCCATTGCACAGACAGCGAAACTGAGGCCCCCATGACAGAGTGTTGCACAGGCCCCACAAGACACTGCAGGAAGACAAGGCTCACGCTGAGCCCACAGTGGACAAAGCCAGGAGAGATGTGTTTGGATCAAGTGTTTTTACAGATTCCCTTTCCACTTTTTAAAAAATCAGATGGTTTTTACAGAAAGCCTCTGGGCTGCTGTAAGTGGCTGTGCTGACTTATCTCTCAGCAGCACAGAGCCACGTGCGGGGTCGGTGCCCGGGGCCACGAGCTGCTCGTGAAGAGCCACGATCTCGGGCACAGCTGTCCAGGGGGCTCCCGTCCGTGTGTCGGCTGTGAGCATCTGAACGACACACTTACCGAGGCCTCAGCATCAGGGATGGGAAGCTGTTTCCCAGCGCCGCTGGGTTCCTAGGAAAATACCTAAAGAGGTTTTGTTTCCTTTTAATGACGGCTCATTCTCTAAGTGTCATTGACACTATTGATAACTAAGAGGATGGTGCGTTTTTAACTTCTGGTAATTATCAGCAATCAAAATTTTCCTACTCCGGTACCATCAGGATTTGCTAGAGTAAACGACATAGTTTCACTCACTGGGTACACACTTGAAAACATTTAGGATGAAATTCTTATTAGGGGACGTATATGAAATTCTTATTATAGGGACGTATTAGTCACACGATGTGCTTAAGAAATTGATTAAATCTGGCCAACTTTGGGCTAAAAATATCTACATTCACTGCTAGGGATGAGGTTTGCTGAAACTTGCTCTTAGAAGCCCACTTCTGGCTGCTCGGGGACGGCAGGTACTGGGCGCCCTGCAGGGTACACGGCCCCCGAGGCGGCCCGTAGGCGTGCCCACACCTGCACCTCCTCAGAGCCCCCGGCACGCACACAGGTGTGCGTGTGCTTCTGGGAACCCCCCGCAGCTGGCAAAACTTTGGAGGAACAGACCCCAGACCAGTCCCCGCGTCTGATGGACACTTGTTTCCTTGCACCTGTTCTGCCACAAGGGTGCGTCTCCGGCAGCAGGTCTCGCGTGTGCACGTGTGACCCATGTGTACGTATGTGTACACGTCTCGATGCATTACCGGGTACGGTTCTGTCCCTGCAAGGAGCGCATCACCCCCCCCCCATCTGTCCATCCTTCTCGTTGGAAGACTCTGCATCTCACACCTCCTGCTCCTTCCCCTCTTGAAATTCCCTCCCTGCTGCTTCCCGAGGCCCCGACAGGGTCTGCTGAGAAAGCCGGCGTTGGGCTGTGGCCCTGGGACCCTTGGGCCCTGCAGGAGTCTAGCCTTGGGGTCGGGGCCAAGGACAGGGACAGAGCGATGGCAGGTGCGGTCCCTCCCATCCCGGGCGAGCACTGGGGAAGCCGCGGGTCGGCGGGTGCCCGGCCTGTGCTCCTCTCCGTGCCCTGGACCGTCCCGTGCTCGCCGCCGGGCGAAGGCTGTTAGGAAGACCCGCCCCTTCCCCACGGCGCCCTCCCGCCGCCCCCAGCTCGCGGCGACTCCCGCGGCAGACCACGGACCCTTCGCCCGCCCACCGCCCGGCCCGGCACAGGGCCCCGCGTCGGCCGCGCGGCGGGGTGACGGCCCGGACGGCAGGCGCCTCTCAGTGTTTCTCCTCGCCTTGCAGCAGAGCACGAGCCTCAGAGCGTCGGTCGCTGCGGGCACGGAACGGCCGCTTCTGAAGGACCTGCTGTCGCGGCCGAGGCGCCGGTAGCCGAGGATAGGTAACCGCGCCCGCCGCGCCTGGCGGGCCGCCCGGTGTGCCGTGACCCCTGCACTGCCCATGTTCCTCCAGAGTTTTGTTGAGCCGCGCTAGTTCTGATAACAGGTTCATGGTGGAAAAAAAAGTTTTTACGCACACGTGTGTCTGTCCCGGGTAAGTGACCTGCCTGAGCGTGTCTGGTGGCAGGTGGCCGTGCGTACACACACGCGCGTGCCGGCGTCCTCCCACTCGCACTTGCGGGATCTTCTCACGCACTGTGCTCAGGGTTTAGTTTCCAGAACGAAGCTCGTCCCTCGGCCTTGGCTGTGGAAGGAGCTTCCCCCGAAAGGTCTGTCGGGAAAGCCCGTGTTTTGACAAAAGGGCGGAAGGTGGCCCAGTCGGCGGGAGCGTTGGCCCAGGCAGACGTGCGGCACAGGTGTGTGGTCGTCAGCGGCACACGGAGCCCTGTCTGCCCCGGGAGGGGACGGAAACGCCGCCACACCCTCGACACACCCCGAGATGGGTGTCTCCGCTGGGACAGGCAGGCCGCCTTCTCCGCCCGGGGACGCGTGTCCCTTTAAGACCTGTTTCTCCCGATGGCTTCCCCCAGTGCCCGCCGCCCGGTAAATTTAATGAGGCCGCGGCCTCCTCGGCAGTAACAGCCTGACAACCCGGCAGACAGAGTGTCCGTGTGCGAGGAGGTGATGGAGACCCAGCCCCACCCCAGGCCCCTGGCAGACACTTCACAAGGGGACGTACTCCGTCTGGAGCCGGCAGGGGAGCCGTTGGTGGCCAGAGTGCGGTCACCACACTGGCTCTGTGTCCTCGGCCACGTGGGACACACGTGCCCGCCCCGTGTCTGGACGGGAAGCCCCGTGGGCAGCGTCTGCACAGGCTGGGTGGGGTTCTCACCGAGGGTCCGGGACTGACACTGTCCTTTCCATTCTCCAGCAGAGCACATGTGTGTGCGGCCAGGACCGCCTCCCCGAGCTCACCCTCCTGGCCTCCCCGCAGAGCCCCAGCCCCTGGGCCATGTGGCCGGGCCCACACACAGAACAGGGGACGCTGATGTAGCCTCCTCTCGCCAGTCTCCTGCATCGCCACCGCCCTCCCGGCCCCGTACCCCACGGGTGGACCACTGGTGGACAGGCCACAAGTCCAAGGCTCTGAGAGCCACACGTGTGCTTCTCCCTGCCCCCGACTGAGAGACGAGGACAACAGGACTGGGCTGGGGTGCGCGGCTGGCCAGCGTCACCTCCTGGGGGCTGGCAGCCCCTGCAGCTTCCTTCAGGCCCCTGGTTGGGTTGTGAAGGACCGTGTGCATGGCCCTCTGTGGCCCGGCCAGGGCCTCCAGTCCCACAGGCTGCCGGAGGAGGACCCCCGCGTGAAGGTGGGCCGTGGGCCAGAGTGGGGGCGGCCACACGGACCGTCCCGAGCACAGGGGCCTCGTCCTCACCACGGGACGGGCTGGCCTTGCCCCCGTGCATCCTTGTCTAGAGCCCTCCCATCCTCGTGCTTCTGGAACTGGCTGAACCAGACTGTGGCATCATCGTGCTCCCACGGCCTGTCGGAGTCCTAGACCGTGTCCTGCTTCTGTCCGAACCCGCCTCCTAGCGAAGCTGCTTTTCAGGGTCGTGTCGGACGCGGAGTTTGTCCCTCCGAGGGAGCTTAGTGTCCCGTGTGAATCTGTTTCCTCTCCCGGCTGCCCCTGTGAGAAAAAAGTATCGTGTGAGAAGAACAGATGATGCAGTCCTCTCAAGCCCCCAGTGCCGGGGATGGGACAGTCGTGCCCACAGCCCCTTAGGGCCTCCCTGCGTGCTCGCGTCCAGACGGCTCTCTCACCGGTTCCAGGGCACGCTGGTGGGGGCCCGGGGCAGAGCCCTTTGTTGTCTTCATCGAGAGGGGGCCTGCAGGGGCCGCGTCTGTCTTCCGAAGTCTATTTCAGGCCACGCAGGTCTGACGGTGAGGCAGCCTCCGAGTCCTGAAAAGCGGGACTGCCGCCCCGGACCACTGCCCACGGCCGAGACTGGGCCCCAGGCCCCTGTGTGTTGTGCTGGATCCGCCACGCTGCTGTCTGCCGGCCGGGGCGTCTCCGGGGTGGGCGGACCTGGAGGAGGCCGCTGCGTGGACCACCCTCGTCCCTTCTCCGTACCGCCGTTTGTTTCTAGAAATAACCTCCTCGACGTAGCCTTAATGGTCCGCAAAGAAGACATTTCAACCTGAGATTCACAGTGTGGATGTGGGAATGGGCACTCTGGAGAAGAGCTTTGCCCGGAGCTCAGCAGGCCACTGCCTGCTGCCAGGCGCCAGGCTGTGGCCCCGGGGATGCTGGTAAGTGGACACGGGGTCAGCTGCGTGCCAGGCACTACAGGAAGTCCCGGTGTCACTGCTTGATTGTACGACGTCTTGTCTATAAAATACTCGTTGGGACTGGGGGACGAGCGGACTGCGTGCACAGAGTAGCTGGCGGAAGTTCAGGGGAAGTAGAAACAGCAAACCAAAGATCAGGAGAACAGACGGGGGGTGCGCCGGGGTGTCCGTCCCGCCGCTTTCCGTCCTGCCGTCCCGCCGCCCTCCGTCCCGCGCGCCGCCGCCCATGTGTGGGGTGTCCTGGCCAGCGTCCGCGCCAGACCCTGTGAACAACGGTGTGTGCGTTTTTACAGCTGTTTTTAAGAACCCAGTGTGGGTATCAATGTCATACCTGTGGGGGACAGATTCTCTGTATGTTTAGTTAACAAATTGTTTGTAATGTATTTTTTTAGAAATCTTAAAATTGCCTTTGCACAGGACTATTTTCATAGCTGTTTCTATCTCTTTATTCATTTCTTTGTTAACATGCCACATCTAATTTTTAAAGTATGTTTTTAAAGCTTCTGATTTTTAAGTTGATGAACTTTTGGCCACTTTGCATTTAAATTCTGGTGGGAGTTTGGGGTGTGTCCGTGTCCGCGGGGTGTGAAGTCGCTGGGCCCCGGCGCTGGTGACGGGCTGAGGCCTGTCTAGAGCACAAAACTTCGCTTGCTGATTCTTCACGGTTGATTGTGATTTTCATCTGCTTTTTGTTTTGTGTTTGGTGCATCCTTTGGCCTTAAAATAGAAGCTTCTCGAGGGATGGTCTGGTGTTCTCTTTCCGCCCGTACTGGGATGGCCACCATTTGCCTCTGATAACACACGTCTCGTTGGGAAAGTCACTACCCCTTACGTGTGCCGAATGTCTTCTCTGAGATCGTTGGGGAAGTCCTCTGCGCCTGCCCCGCACGGTGGACACGGGCCGGAGGGAGGGCGGCGAGCCCCCGGGGCCAGTGTGTGCGTGGGACCCCGTGCGACCTCTTGCCTACACTAGTTCCTGTTCACTTGCCTTAAACTGACCTGAAAGCAAGTCCTGTCGGCGTCAAGCACTCCTCTTTGTCCCGAAGACCTCGTCAGGGTGGCACCTGTGGATGGGTCACCACCGTGAGCTCCCACGCCAGCCCCAACAATTGGTTCCGAAGCCGCACACCATGCCCCTCGGAGCAGGTCACACTAACGCACAGGTGGTCCCGACCACGTCCCTGTCTCTTGCCTTCAGCTCCGTGTCCACTCGGGGCCACACGGTACGCACACATACACGCTCCCTGGGCCCTGGCCCTCCTTCCCCCTTCCTGAGGGGACCCTGCCGGGAGCTCCAGGAACACAGGGCTCCCTGGACTTTGAGCCTCGCACCCTGGCAGGGCGCGGAGACGGGATGGACACGCTGCCAGGCCCCTCCCCGGGTCGGCCCCCTGGCTGATCCGCCCCACGCGGCTCTGCCCTCGGCACAGGAGGCAGAGGGCGGCGTCTGGACCCCTCAGGCCTCCGGGAGCCCCGGCCGGCCCTCTGCCACGGGCAGCCGGCAGAAAAGGCGTCCTCTTGGCAACTCGGTGCGGAGCCAGCCCGACCGCTCCTGTGCGTCGGACTCCGGGGGTGGGCGGAGGCCAGACAAGTCCCTCGCGGTGCCACGCGCCCAGCTTCTGCAGTGACGGGCTGCAGAACTGTCGCTTGGCCTGGTGAGATTTTGCAGCTTTAAGTACAAAAACGCCTCCTCCTTGCAGTTCTGGCCGGTCTCCGGTCGTGGCACATCAGCCAGAGGCGCAGTGCGGCCTGGAGGGGGCTTTCCGGGCCTTTTCGCTAAAACCACTGAGTTCGCTGTGTCGCACTGACTGGAGTGACCCGGCGTGGCCCTCCTTTCCTCCGAAAGTCGCATCATTTAACAGCCCGCGTCACGTCTCCACATCTACGTTTCTTTTGGACGCTTCCCAGTTAGAAACAGGAAAAATGTCAGCTGGCAAATGCGTTTTTTAAGTTAGAGGGGAGGTGAATGGGAAAGAGAATCATTCTGAATATCGTCCGTAAACAAAGCTTTAATGAAGGTGTCAGAAGTATTATCGAAGTGTGATTCTACTTTTGCAGAAAAAAATCTAAAGATCAGTTTATATAGCTTTATTTTTTACCTTATCAAAATATACAGAATTTTAATATGCATATATTATTGTCTCTGACTTAAAGCTATGATGTGTGTCTGCATTGCCGTTTAAAATGCCCATTCATCATGTAATGTAATAGAAGAGAATCTTCCAAGTGTATTTAACACGAGTGGTATCCATAGTTGTCATCGTCATAAATACTGGAATTTATTTTTAAATTATTGAACATAGTAGGTAGTCATGTTTAATTGATAATGATTCATTAACCCGCTTTGAAAAATTAAATTGTGATTAAACCAAATCTTACACTTGCGCAAAGTTCCTTTTGTATGCTACTGATTTTAACTTTTATTTCTGTAGATAAAGTGTGACTTAATTATATTGCATTTTTCTGCAAACTATTTAAGCAGGAGACTTGAATCCGCTTGCAATAAAGAAGAAAAAAAATTCTGGCTTAGTTTCTTTATGAATTAAAAAAAAAAATCAGTTGGCCTTAAATCTCATAGAGGTGCCTGGGTGTCTCAGTCGTTAAGCATCTGCCTTCGGCTCCGGTCATGGTCCCCGGGTCCTGGACTGAGCCCCGCATCGGGCTCTCCGCTCAGCGGGGAGTCTGCTTCCCCCCTCCCACTCCCCCTGCTTGTGCGCTGTCTCGCTGTCTGTCAAGCAAATAAATAAATAAAATCTTTAAAAAAAAAAAACAACAATCTCTGGGGACAGAAGCTGCAGGGGCGAAACCTCTCAGCCTGAGGGTTTGGGCTAAAGGTGGGCAGGTGACCCCCCCCCAGACGCCCGGGCAGCGCCCACACTCACCAAGGCCATGGCACCGCCCCCGGGGCCACCCGCTGCTCCTCGACCTCGGCCGCAGGCACCGTCCTCCCCAGAGACCAGTCTGCTCCAAGGCACACCAGTGAAGCCCAGGACCGGCTCACAGGCCTTGCGCACTCTCTGGGGGCACCCAGGCTGCAACGTGACACCCTGTGCCTGGGTCTGGATTCGGGCGGGGGTCCCAAGGTCATGAGGGGGTTCTGCTCCAGGCTCAGTCCCGCTGCTGACGGTGTTGGGGGTAGACCATGGCAGCCCCCCCATGCAGACGTATCCCCGTGAGTCTGTGCCTCGTTGTCACATGGCGTCTACCTGTGAGCATGTCTGTGTCCATCTGTCCCTCGTGAAGGACGCTGGTGGGACTGGTGGCCCGTCCTCGTCTGACATTTGTCACCTCTGTAAGAACCTGTCTCCAGAGAAGGCCACACTCTGAGGTCCTGGGAGTTAGGGTCTTCCCAAGATCTTGAGGGGACACAATCACCCCGTAAGGCCCTGCTTGGGGGACCCTCCGGGAGCACGTCAGCCCGCAGGGCTGGGCGAGCACAGAGGCTATGTGTGCTGGGTGCGCGTGCAGAGGTGAGGAGCTAAGGGCCGCAGATGCTGAGAAGTAGCAGCCCCGCGGGGAAGATGCGGCCCAGGTCAAGCAGGACCCCAGCCCGGGCCCTGGTTGACGCGGGCCGGTGCCAGGAAGGGAGGAAGAGCGCTCTGCACGGGGGGGGCCTCAGGGGCCGAGCTTCCCCCTCCTGGAAGGACGCAGAGCCGGCCCGGGGGAGCCACCCCGGGAGTATTGGCGTCGGTG